TTTTTTTCAAGACATTTTAATTTATATACTTGTACCTTTGTAGAATTTCATTTTGTTTCCATTTTCCAAAATGTTCTAAAAAACACCATGTCTATAATTTTTAAAGGTAAAAAGAATAGAATCACATACAAATAAGTTTTCATACAAGTTTTTTATTTTTTTCAACAATGCAATATTTATAAAACCATCACTGCTGCATCGGCGAAAATTTGCCAAAGAAAACAAAAGAAATTAATTACAGCATTGCCAGTTGCACATAAGACATTACACCTGAGTATAGCTGATTCATACATTTCTATTTCTTTCTCTTCTCGTTTTATATCGAAAATTAAAACAATGCTGATCAATGTTTGGTTCTGGCCACAAATAAACAATGACCCACAACGGTGAGTTGTTGTAAGCTATGGCTGAAGTAAACGGGAACAAATTGCTACATTTTCTTGGTGTTAATAAAACAAAAGGCAAACTGAAATCATTGTTAATGCACTATTTGTTAGGTACAAGATTTCGTGTTATTTTACTTCGTTTCTTTTCAGGATGTACGTACGTGTTATGTGCAATGGAAATAAGTTTTTATTCCATTGTCATTGGTTGGTTCGGAAAAGGTAATGTGAACCCAAACTTTAGCTGGCTTAGTTAAGTGAAAAATCTAATCAAAAACATACAAACGAACAAAATTCAATTTGTTCTTTTCTTTGCGCCACTGATGTTGTGATTTTTACTTTGGGAATAAAACGAACAAAGGGATATTTGGAACTGATTGGAAATTTCCTTGTTGATTAGGAATTTTAAATAAAAAAATCTACCTAAAATTACGGATAAAACAATTAAAAGGCATAAAGAAAATTTACAAACAATATCACCAAAATTCATGATTGAAACTTCCATGCGTATTCATTATACTGCCCCGCATGATGTAATATTTTGAAGATGGGGACGTATGATTATTATTATCAGCAAAAATATAGCATTCGCCCCAGTATACAACTGATAACTCATTTTTATACCTCTAGCATGCGAACATCTATCACCACAATTATTTTCCCCTCTTGTTTTGTGAATGCGAAAAAAATCCCCAACAATATTTTACAACAATTGAAAGCAATTTATTGGCTGCTGTGAAACTTCAATCTTTGTCGAGTAAATCGATTACATGACTAGCGGGAAAATATATGTGTATATATATAACGCATGTATATATCTATCTTTGGTAATGCAATGAGGTGTGAGGGAGCAGAAAAAGGCAACCCAAGATAATACAATTGGTATGAAATGTCAGAAATGATGTTACATTAATAATGATAACATCGTTAAATAAATTGATATGTGCTCTGGATCGAAAAGGTTAATGACATTGCAACAAACCGAACGATAGATACTATTTGTAAGCCATTTAGGGAATTGCACTTTGCTAATGGCACTTAAAACATAATGTTATGTGGGATTTTCAAGATGATTAATAAATATTTTTTTTTTTACTGAGAAAAAATATTTGGTATATAGTTGGTTATACACAACGACGATGAAAAGTTTTATGCTGGAAGGTTCCAAAACGGTATGGCGATGGCTAAAATAGCAAATGGGTATTTAAAAAATATTTACGATTTTAAGGGTTTACATGATATGTTTAAGTTTTTACAGAAAAAAAATATTTGGTATATAGTTGGTTATGCACAACGACGATGGAAAGTTTTATGCTGGTAGGTTCCAAAACGGTAGGGGGAAGTCTAAAATAGCAAATGGGTGTTTATTAATTTATTTTCGAGTTGGAAACCTTAAAAGAACAAAGTGTAAATAAACAAGTAAAAAAGCTGTAAGTTCGGCCGGGCCGAACTTTTAATACCCTCCACCATTTGGTACAAATTTGGCAATTTCCAAAAAAAAAAAAAAAAAAAATCCTTTTAAAATTCTGTTAAAATCTTAAAAATACCGAATGCCTATACGACGACGTAGACCTGCATAGACAACTTTTGTCATAAGTTATTACAATATTCAAATGCGAAACTTGAAGAAAAATATGTTTATAATGTAGCTAAAATCATCAAAATACCGAATATAGTAGGTACCGTTATATGGGGGCTATACGAAGGCGTGGAGCTGCAAAGACAATTTTCTGGTATGGGCTAAAGTATCCATTACGAACTTCACATGCGAAATTTGAAACAATCCCGGTAAATAATGTCGCTAAAATCATCAAAATACCGAATATCGGGGTGTACGGTATATGTGGGCTATACTAATACGTGGACCTACATGGCCCATTTTCTGTTTTATGCGGAAGTATCTATTACGAAATTCAAATGCCAAATTTGGAACGATTCCGTCAAATAAAGTCGCTAAAATCATCAAAATACCGAATATTGGGGGGTATCGTTATATGGGGACTATATAAAGACGTGGACCTACATGGCTCATTTTTTGACTTAGGATGTAGTATCCATTACGAACTTCAAATAGCAAATTTGAAACAATCCCGGTAAATGATGTCGTTAAAATCATCAAAATACCGAATATCGGGGGGTACCGTTATATGGGGGCTATATGAAGACGTGGACCTACATGGCTCATTATTTGAGTTAGGATGTAGTATTCATTACGAACTTCAAATAACAAATTTGAAACGATTCTGGTAATTAATGTCGTTAAAATCATCAAAATACCGAATATCGGGAGGTATCGTTATATGGGGGCTATATGATAACTTGAACCTACATGGCCCATTTACGAACTTAACCTGCCTACTGGCAAAATATACATGTATGCAAAATTGTATCCTTTTATCTCAATTTGTTCGAAAGATAGCGTGATTACAACAGACAGACGGACAGACAGACAGACAGACAGACGGACATGGCTAAATCGTCTTAGAATTTTACGCTGTTAGGGCTGTTAGCAACTTTATCCTTTGAAAATCCATGTCCACAGTGTCTTAACTCTTTTATATAGGACATAGTCAAAACTTTCTTATAGGACACTCCTGCTCTGAGAGTCCATATAAACATATTTTTAAAACACATGATTCTAACTCCTGGTTTGGAAAATTGTGTAAATGTCTTACAAAAAAAAAAAAAAAAAAAAAAAAAAAAAAAATCGTAGAAGATTCATGATTACAGTGGTTTTTTTCCATTACAACTGACCTTAGACTCCCTGAAAATAGATCTAAAACGTATACCCGTTCATAAAAGACATCCTTCAAAATTAACTTCATTGTCATTAAAATTATCTTGAACAAGTAAAAAAAGCAGCTAAGTTCAGCAAGGTCGAACTTTTTATACCCTCCACCGTTTGCAAGAAAATTGAAAAGTTAAAAAAAAAAAATCCATCGGAAAACACGTTATTTGTGGGCTAGACGAAGACGAGGTGTTCCGAACTTTGTATACGAAATTTGAACAATTCCGGTAAATAAAATCATCGAAATACCGGGAGGAACCGGTATATATATATATATATATATATATATATATATATATATATATGTATATATAGATATATATATATATATATATATATATATATATATTTATATATATATATATATATATATATAGATATATATATATATAGATATATATATATATATATATATATATATATATATATATATATATATATATATATATATATATATATATATATATATATATATATATATATATATATATATATATATTATATCGTAGACCTATTTAGACAATTCTCTTCTAGGGGATAAAATACTTACAAGGAACTTCTTGTGAAAATTTTCAGACAATTCCATTGGAAAATCTGGCTAAAATCATCAAAATACTGAATATAGAGGGGTACCGTTATACGATATCGTATACCTATATAGATAATTCTTTTTCAGGGGATAAAGTACTCACAAAAAACTCCTTGTGTAGAATTTCAGACAATTCCATTGAAAAATGTGGCTAAAATCATTAAAATACCGAATATCGGGTATGGGGGCTCGATATCATGGACCGTTATAGTCCATCTTCCAACTTGACTTGCCTGCAGACAAAATAGAGATCTGTGCAAAATTTTAGTTTCCTATCTTAATTCGTTTTGGGTCTAAAATTATTATTTCGATGAGTTACAATCGGAATGACGAACTTAATGCACCCTCTATACTATGTATGCTGGAGGGTATAAAGATATCCCCTAAAAATTCGGGCTTTCAAAAAATTCGAAATATGTATTCAAATGCCCTTAAACATTTCTTGAAAAAAAAAAAAACTTACCACAAAAACTAAGTTATTAAAATCTTTGAGGTCCATTAGAAATTAAACGATTTTCCTTAAGAGAGTTCTTGAATAAAAATATCCCTAAAAATCTAAGACTATATCTTTAAAGATATATCCTATTACCCTTTAAGAACCTTAAAAACAGTATAATAATTTCAAATAACTGTGTATTTTTCTCAAAAAAATGCAACATTAAAGGACTAATTATCCTTTAAACTAAGAATTCTTCGAATAAATAATACATTTTATTTGAACTTTTCTTGAAATAACCAATGCAAAAAGTTCTTTGATATAATTTTAATAGTCTTAAAATTTAAAATTCTCTCTTTATCCCTTTACTTAAATATTTTAAATTTACCAAATAGGTACGCAGTTTTCAAAATGGTTCCGTCTACGTAGGCCTTGAAATTATAAAAATAAAATCACACTCAATTAATTTGGGATAATTTAATTTTTTCATAATCCCTTCATCGCAAACAAATTGACAAAATAATCCCAATAATCTAAATAAAATAAACCAATTCGAGTATTTATATATATAGATCAAAAGAAATCCATAATTGTAATCTACAAAACCCCACGTACGCCCACACGCACATTTAAAAAATTTATCAGAGCCATATTGCCGATGCCATGCGAAGGAAAATAACAGATTGAAGAAAAATGAAGCAGAAGATGAGGAAAAAATAACAAAATCTAAAATGGATTCCATAAATCTGACTACATGTCGCTGTCGTTGGTGTCGTCATCGTTATTGTATTTCTTTGTACTTACATCGGATACGTAATGTCACCGGATTACTGGTGCCTTTGCCTTCAGAATTCACAGCCAGACAAGTGTAATCACCGGCAGATGCACGCGAAACGCTTTGCAGGACAAGTGATTGATCTGATAGGATAACGCCAGCTGATACATTGTGATGTAATTCTTTGCCCTGTTAATGGAAGAGAGAGAGAGAGAGAGAGAAGAAATACATTGGTTAATAATAAAAAAACAACGCACAAGCACATAAACAGAAATCATTGTTTAAATATTTGCTAGAAAGATGAAAGTAGTATTGAGAATAACAACGCCATGTCAGGAAATACAATTAAAAAAAAATCTTTTCAATTCCCTTGCAAGAATTGCTGCAATGAGTGAAGAGCTTTACGAAACCACTATCACCCCCTGAAGAGTAGTGGCACTGGAATTATAAAATGACATTGTACATGAAAAAAAAAAAACGTAACGAAAAGAGGGATCAACCTGTATAGAAAAATCATTCACGTGAAAAAATGAAAGAAGTGCAGCAGCCACGTAAAGCTATGACACGTAACGTAAATAAGTTTATATAAGAAGAAGAATATGTTCTGCAGCATACAATGTAAGATAAAAGATAAACGGACAACAAAAAGGCAAAAATATCACGTGAAAGAGTGAAACAATGATAGAACATGTTAAATCTCAATTTGGTTTTTATCGAAATTAAGATTTTAATATTTTCTCTAATAATAATTGACAAAATTCCACATAACTGGCTTGTTAGGAATCGCTTTATATAAAATGATTTTTACAATTAAATATAGATCCACGCTAACGTTCGCTGTGCATATAAACCCGTTCAAGCATAAAACGTTATGAAGGTAGCTGTATGACCTTGTATAATGAAATGGCATAAACAAAACAGCCAGCAACAATGTGCTAACACCAAGAAATTGTTTGCCCCTCCGGTGTGTGTATGTGTTTTTTTGTTTTTTACTTTTTTCCATGAATCCTTGTGTTAACAAAACAACCCAGTTTGATTTTCTCTTTCGTTAGGAAACAAAAGTGTGGCTGTACTCGATTTTAATGGATGTAGATGTTACTTGGTTTAGTTGTATGTATTGTAGATCGAGTTTTAGTAGTGAAAATCAGACAAATTCGACTTGAACAGAAATTCTTCGTTGCGGAAAGGATAAAATATATGCGACAATTAGAACTTATACACAGATTCTGCAAAATATTTGCTCAAAATATTTGAAAATGTGGTTTTAGTTTAGAAACCGCTTTTCTCTTTTTCCCCAAAATAATCGTCTGAAATTTGTAATTCTCGGTGGGTGATATATATGTTAGCAAAAGAATTTTAATATGGATCCTGCATGTCATAAAGCACCCCTTATTCTCTCGTTTTGGAGTTGTTAGTTGCATTTTTCGCTCGTGGTTGAATATCTCACCACCAGTAATTTGTATTTTCAGGGCCTACAATTTAGAATTTTAGGTCAAGATATTCAGTAAACCCCCAAATTTCAGTTATTTGGGACCAGTCACTTTTGCTGATTAAAAAACAAATGAGTATTACCTCAGATTTATTTAGAAATTATTAGAGCTATTAACGCACAATTAAGACCAGTAAGGAAAGGTCAAAAGTCGGGGCGGGACCGACACTACTATGCGTATTTAGTACAGAATAATGAAAATTTATTTGGAGTAGATCATACCACCTATTAACCATTGGTATATAGTGCATGATATGACTTCGATAAGGACTATATTAAAATATATTCATCGGAGCAATGGGTATACCGGACGGAGATTCACCAAATGATAAAATTCGGTTGAATATGAAAAAATTTATTTGATTTGGGTTGATATTATTTATGGTGAGCAATAACCGTAAAATCGGATGATGATGTGTACTGAAGGTATATAAAAATTTTAACCGATAACAATAAAATAAAATTTGCCATAGGAATATCATTGTTGTGGAGTGCATATTACCCATATGAGGGACTTTTGGAAAATTTTAAATCAATCGGATAATAAATTGCGATCTACATTTTGTTCACAAAAATACATGGCCAGACGGACGGATTGACATGCATAAATCGACTTAGAAAGATGTGAATAGGTTACAATTTTTTATACCCTCCACCATATTATTTAGGTTATATCAACTTTGCTATTCCTTTGCTATCTCCTGGAAATACGCATGTTTTTTTCAGTATGTAGCTGAATTTTGTTTTCGTATAGTCCTTATATAAATGTACCTGTCGATATTCTGTATTTTGACGATTTAGATCACATGTTTGCAACGAGTTCCACCTCCATTGTTTACATTGGTCCCCATTTTCTTATAGCCCACATGTAACGGTACCACCCGATACTGTGATTTTTGGGGGGTAGATAACGTTTTTCAATATACCCCCCCCAATCTTAACTGCACCCCATGCATTCTGATGATTTTAAAAATTTTCTAACGGAATTGTTAAAATTTGGTACATAGAGTTTCGAATGAGTTCTAACTCCTGTGACAGATCATTGCTGTATAAGATCACCTTTTCTCATAGGTTGAACATTTTTTTTTAAATTTAATATTAAAAACCCGCAATAGGTAAGAACCACTATAGCAGGGAACCGGTACCATTGACTTTAGTGCAGTAATAAAATATTTTACCAACCGATTTCTCTGCAAAAATGGAAGTGGACCCAATATTCAATCCCGATATTTATACTTCTGAATTACCTCGTGGTAGAAGGTATTAAAAGTTAGGTCCGGCCGAAATTAACGTGTTTTTCATGTTTTTGGAGGGTTATTGTAGGTATTGACATAGAGTTATAAAGATTTTTGAGGAACTGAATTTAATTTAAACATTATTTTTGGAAATTTTATAGAGGATAATTACCTCGTGGTAGAAGGTATTAAAAGTTAGGTCCGGCCGAAATTAACGTGTTTTTCATGTTTTTGGAGGGATTATTGTAGGTATTGACATAGAGTTATAAAGATTTTTGAGGAACTGAATTTAATTTAAACATTATTTTTGGAAATTTTATAGAGGATATAACGTGTATTTTTATAAGTATTTTTGAAAGGTTCTTAGAAATACTAATAACAATTTTTAAAATAGATTAAGAGGCTCTTAGTCAAACGTTAATTTTTTTGTAAGTATTTTTGAGAGGTTCTTGAAAGTACTAATGACAATTTTTAAAAGAGATTTAAGAGGTTTTAAGTAGATTTTTGCGTGGTTCTTGAAGGTACTAACATGAATCTCAAAATTAGTTTTCAAAGATACCTAGAGGTACAAAAGTTGAGGAGGAGGTTTGGGAGGTTAATAGATTAGATAGGAATTTATAGCAATTTTTGGAGTTTCTTGGAGGTATAGACGTCGATTTTTAGAAACATTTATATAAGACTGTAGATTACCTCTAGAAACGAAACTTGTTACTATTTTTATTTGTAACGAAACATATGTATTTCACAATTTGGCTTCAGTAATTTAATTATACCGCTATTATGCTTCAACGAAATCCTTTCACTGTGATTTTATTGCGTTGAAAATAGAAATACATCCCAAAAACATGACAAGTTATTTAACAGAATTGTGTTAATACTGTTGTAAATCCACCTGATATTGAATAAAATTCCTCAAGGAAACATAAACCGTAAAGCCCTGGTATTAATCTGTTAATTTCTTTTCTAAATAACAAATTCCACAAAAAATCAATTTCCTTTCCTGTCATACATATTCAAAACATTTTTTTTTTCGGAAGTTTCTCAATGTTTTTTCGGACAAATTCACCTAAATTTAATTTGTGGAACTAACGTTGTTCTATAACTACAACACATACACAATGCTTAATTGCACATTTCGGACTCTTGTAATACAATACAAAAGTGTAGATTTATATTCCATATTCCGAGCAGAATATGAACAATTTCCAAGAGGAAAAAAATGCAAACATAATATTTCACAATGTTCATTTTGTGTGTGTTAGATGATTTACAACTGTAAATTGTATCTGAACTCGTTAGGAGAATGTAACTCTGTAAATGGTACTGAAGACATTTAGAGTTAAATAACGGATTACCACATCACTAGATATTGCTGACACATGAAGCATACACACACACACACCCCCCAAAAAATGAATAGACATGAGCACGACAAACAGCAGAGAAAAAAATCCGACAGGGCAGAAAGACACACAGACAGACGAATGGATGGATGTCTTCTTAAGCAACAGACAGATGGGAAAATTTCATTTAGTTTTGTTCTTGGCAAGATGAGCATGAGTATTAACGAAATTCTTGGAATTGAAAGAATAAAATCCCAATTGCAATAATGTTGGGCTTATATTTTGTTTCCAGTAATAACAGGGAGAACGAACATACTCGTAATGTGTGTTTTGTCAACAAAAAAAAAAAAAAAACAGAACTTTAAAGAGACAGGTTTTGGGGCGCAATCATGAAACACAATTTTTGTAAAGTTTCCAAAAATTGTTAACATTCAATGGGGTTAAGTAATTGCATGCTGTTATTTAGTTAGGGGGCTGAAAAGTTAAAACTTTGGTTATGGCCTCTACCACAATGTGGTTTATGTTTTTTTTTTTTTTGGTGAGTTATATGTTTGGAAAGTTTGAAACTACATGGAAAAACAAGTTATTTAACATAACATGTAACTTTTATGGCATCTTTTTTATGATAATATTTTCATTGGATCTACATAGACGATTATATGCCGGAACTATTTGGACTTCAAGAAAATTCCGTGGAAAAATAGCTCAGCGATAGCTCATTATATTGTTTACAAGCGTACAAAACATTTTGGAAAGAATTTTTCTTTTCATTTGGCTGGAAAACCACAAGTGGCTACCTTTAGAGCACTAAAGCATTTAAATGTGAATAAATCGTTTGTGTCGCGTACCACCGCTAGTTATCGTGATACTGGTAGCGTAGCCCGACGCCGAGGAAGTGGACGGAAGAACAACATCAGCAGGAATGGTTCGAAAAGTAAAGAAGCGACTTGATAGAAACCTGCGTCGCAGTGGCCGAAAAATGACACTTGAGCTGAACATATCGAAATATTCCATTCGGTAAATATTGAAAAATGAGCTCGGGGTATAGCCATTGAAATTCCAAAAGGTGCAAGAACTTACACCGCAACAGAAAGAAAATAGACTCAAAAGATCTAAAGACTTGCTTCGCTTGGCCGAAAGTGGTGAACTGCCGAGTTTGGTTTTCTCCGATGAGAAAACATTCGTTGCCCAGCAGTTTTCAAACAAACAAAATGATCGTGTTCACCTACCAAAGAGGTCAGCTAAAAATATGCACATTCTGTTGGCCACCAGAATTCAAGCGCCGGCCATGGTGATGGTGTGGGCCGCCATAACAGCCGATGATCGCTCTTCGCTCGTATTAATCGACCGCGGTAACAGAATAAATGCAGAATATTATCGCGAAAATATTACGGAGGGCCGCCGACCTTGGACATTCCAACAGAACTCAGCACCATCGCACTCAGCACGCGCCACCCAAGAATGGTAATGGTTCCTCGCTTCATTTCCAGCGCACAATGACCACCAAAATATCCGGATACCAATCCGTTGGATTATTGTGTTTGGAGTATTTTGGAAAGCAACTAAAAAATGCCCAAGTATCGATCATAATTCGTGCCAAGAGTGACCAATTCGAACATATATAAACTTATTTTAAAATTTTATGCTATTTCCGACAGTTTTTGCATCCATTCAATAAATTAAAAAAAAATGTAAAATTGAGGGCGTTTGACTTTGTTGCAGATTTTTATCTCACCCTGTATATGGTTGGAATTCACATGCACAGTTTTTTACAAGTATTTTATTACAAGTATGACGTTTGGAATATAGAGTGCTTTCCAAGGACGGGCGGGCATGGCGAAACCTACTCAGAATTCTATTCTGATTAAGAATATATGTACTTTTTGGGGCCTAAAATTTTTATTTCGAGGAGTTACAAGCTGATATAGGGTCCTTCGTTTCCGATAGTGAATAATCATAGATTCTGTGTAATGCAAACGAGGTCTTCGATTTGACACAGATTTTTGTTAAGTGGTTTCTAAAATTTCACTTTTAGAAAATTGTTATTAATGTTACGTAAGCTGCATTTAATAACCCTGAGACGCAAATCAAATACCAATCGTTGTGATAATTTTAGGGTAACTAAAAGTCGGCTTTACTTAGCCCTTTTAATTTTTCTTCCATTTCTGAAATGAAATTGATACTTAAGCATGCATAACCTCATTGCTTTATGTCTTATCCTTGTTCACTTCTCTATTTCCAACAATTACAAAAATCCTTACAAAATGTCGTTTTTGTTGTAGTTTTTAATTTCTTTACAATGTGCAACACACACACACACACATGCACAAAGTGTTAAGTGCATCTAAAGCAAGATAAACTGTCAAATAGTTCATTTGTTTCGTTCCTGTTTTTGTTCCTCACATGCCAGTGAAAAGAAAACAGTTTGTCGTAGCACTTGGCAGAAATTGTAAACCTGCTTGTTACTGGTAATCAATCTTTTAAGGGATTTTGTTTTCTTGCCATGCTTCGTTCTGCACCAACCGAACCAACCCTCACTCAACAAACCAAAATCATGTCTGTCGTAAAGTAATTTGTAAATGGTGCCAGGTTTTTCTGTTTTGTTTTAACGGAGTCGAGCGTTTATTTAACATTTCGAGTTCAATATATAAATGAATTTTCTTTACTTGGAACGCACACTTTCGGGTTTGCAGTAATTACGCACACGTGTAAAATTTGCCATTGAATGAAATGTGTTCTTTAGAATATGCTTGCTTTCCAAGTGTTTTTGTTTTTGATTTTACTCTACATTCACTCAGTCAGTCAGTCACTCGTTCACTCACTCATTCATTCATTCGCTCATCCTCTGACTGAGCAAGTCTATTAATTAAGTAAATGTAAACATCATTTTGTAGTAAAACATATACCAACAAACAACAACAAAAAAAAAAAAAAACAGCAGAAAATAACAGAAATTAAATAAAGAATGTTAAATGAGCCGGAAATTGTGGCTAACTGTTTGTTAAAACTTTGTGAGTGTGTGTGTATGCGTTTCTGTTTCGGTTTCTGTTTGCATTGCTGTGTTTGCCTTTAAACATTTATCTAGCTATGGCCATTAATCCATTTAAGTTTGTGGTGGCTGAAATTTCGTGTGGTTAAGTCTGATAGTACTTACATTATGAAACCATGACATTTTATAGGGCTTTGGATTCGACTGAATGACACATTCAAAATAGACATCGTCTCCCTCTTTAATGTCATCAGGATTAAGTGATGATCCCATTTTCAAATGAGCTGTGGGTTGATCTGAAACAAAACAAAAGCAGACGGTTACAGAGGTGTGTAAGGCATTGTTGTTGTTTTCGTTAATTTTTTTAATTATGTTAATTGCCAGATATAGTCAACCTATTATAATAAATTTATGTTGCTCCGCTAAGTGGAGTTAAGGAAAGAATTACAACATCAAAAATGTATAGAATATTGAAAATAAAAGGAGTTTTTTTATATTATCCCTTTTTCAGGTTCAAACAAGTTAAAATGCAGTTCGGCCGGGCCGAACCATTTTAAACGAATTTGCAACTTTTCAAAAAATAAAATCCTTAACAAGTAAAAGAACATTAAGTTCGTCCGCGCCAAATTTTTAATACCCTCCACCATAGGGTAAAGGAAACATTAGAAAAAATGTGGCAAAAACCATCAAAATACCGAATATCGGAGGGTACCGTTATATGGGGGCTATACCAAATCATGGACCCATACATGCAATGTTTCGCCACCGGAGCTGGAAACCATTATGACCAACAAATACCAATTTTTAGACAAATCCGTGCAAAAATGTGGCAACAATAATTAAAATACCGAATATCGGGGGGTACCTTTATATGGGGGCTATACCAAAACGTGGACCTATACATGTAATCTTTTGCCACACGTACAAGGACCCGATATGACCTACAAATACCAATTTTTAGACAAATCCGTGAAAAAATGTAGCATAAATCATCAAAATACCGAATATCGGGAGGTACCGTTATATGGGGACTATAACAGAACGTGGACCGATATATCTCATTTTCAATACCAACACAATACCAATTGCTCTGCTAAATTTTGGCGCTCTACGTCAAATAATGTGGGCAGTATCGTGATTTCAACAGACAGACAGACGGACGGACATCGTTAAATCGACTTAGAATTTTATGCTGATTATGAATATATATATACTTTATGGGATCTACGACGAATATTTGAGGATGTTACAAACGGAATGACAAAGTTAACATACCCTCCTTTCCAAGGTGGAGGGTTTAAAAATTTCTGTTACAATTTAAAAAATACCGAAGATAGTATTTATATTAGGGTGAATTCGATGTGGACCTACATAGGCATTGTTTGTCATAAGCCATATTCAAATTCGAATCTTGAAATTAACGGTCAATAATGTAGTTAAAATCATCAAAATATCGTATATAGGGAGGTACCGTTATATCGGAGCTATGCGAAGACCTGGATCAGCACAGACAATTTTCTGTCACAGGTTGTAGCTTCCATTACCAACTTCAAATACGACATCTCACACAATTTCGGTAAGTATTGTACCTAAAATCATCAAAATACCGAATATAGGGAGGTACTGATATATGGGGTCTATACGAAGACGTGGACCTGCATAGACAATTTTCTGCCACATACTGTAGTTCCCATTACGAACATCAAATACCAAATTTGAAAAAAAAATCCGGTTAATAATGTCGCTAAAATAATCAAAATACCGAATATAGGGACGTCCCGTTATATGGGGGCCAGCGTGACCGTTGTGCCACTAAAGTATCAATTTTGCCACTTTTTTGGGCTTTGATATATATATCATAAATGAGCCACTTTTTTGAATTTGTGTGCCACTTTTTTATACATTGTGTCACCTTTTTTATACCCTCTACCATAGTAGGAAGGGTATATTAAGTTTGTCATTCCGTTTGTAACACCTCGAAATATACATTTTAGACCTTACAAAGTATATATATTCTAGCTCAGCATAAAATTCTACGTCGATTTATCAATGTCCGTCCGTCTGTGGAAATCACTCTAGTTTTCGAACGAAATGAAGTAAGTTAAAGTAAGTGCAGGTCTACGTCTTCGTATAGCCCCCATATAACAGGACCCCCGATATTTGGCATTTGGATGATTTTAGCGACATTTTTTATCGGAATTGTTTCAAACTTGGTATTTGAAGTTCGTAATAAATATTAAAGCATATGACAGGAGGTTGTCTGTGTAGGTTCACGTCTTCTTATAGCCCCTATATAATGGTACCCCGATATTCGGTATTTTGATGATTTTGGCGACATTATTTACGGAAACTATTTCAAATTCTGTATTTGAACTTCGTAATGGATACTACAGCCTATGCCGGAAAATTGTCTGTGCAGGTCCATGTTTTATATTTATTTATTTTTATTTATTATTTATTTATTATTATTTATTATAGCTACATTATAAACAGATTTTTTTTCAAGTTTCGCATTTAAATATTATAATTATGCTATTATATTCCAGCGGTCACACTGATGGGGGCTATACCAAGATGTGTATCTGCACAGCCATTTCGAACTTCAAATACCAAATACCTACATGGCCCATTTACGAACTTAACCTGAATACTGGAAAAATAAACATGTGTGCAAAATTTTAGCCTTATATCTCAATTCGTTCGAAAGACGGACATCGCTAAATCGACTTAGAATTTTACGCTGAAGTCCTCCTCTTGCAGATGTTTTTAAATCTATAGATTTGCCCTTTTTACAGGGAATTCACTTTCTAGAATTTTACTCCAAAGTTAAGTTTTGTGATACAAATTCCTTAGTTACTTGTCCAAAAATTATTCAAACAAATATAATTGACCCCATTCCACTCTTTCCCCCTACCCAACTACTCAGTTAATTTATGAGATAAATGACACCTAATAAAACTGTCTTCCTTCTAATTCCAAAGAAAATTCCATTAAACTAATCCCCCTTAACACCCTTAGCTATTATACTTGAGATTTAGCGATTTTCTTCCTTGTCTGTCACAAACTTTGCTTTTCGTCTTTGTGGAAGAGAATAGAATATCAAATTATTTAAAGGCAATTCATCTTCATCCTTATCGGGCAAGTGTTAGATGAAGGGCTAGTTACGTTTTATGACCCAACCAATGAAATCTTGATTGCTGTCTATCATGTCAATTGTTTAGCACTTTCGAAATGTTTCATACTATCTATCTATCCCTCTTGTAAATGTTCTCTGTGCTTCTTTGTTCAATGAGAGAATAAAGAAACGGAAAATGAAGATTTTTTTATTAGGTAGATTTTCTCGATTTCATCTTTTTCTATTGTTGTTGTTGCTCGTCAAATTCAAATTCACAACGCCAACAATGAAGGAGAAATGTTGGTTTCATACAATATATAAACATGTGCTCAAGTTTTATGGGATATTTATGGTCAAGCTGACCGAAACAAAGAAAAAGGGATCCCAATATGTCTGGGAGTGTGTTTTGTAAATAGTGTGTAATATACCGCAACGACAATCTAATGTCATTGATATCTACCCAAATGAATGAATGGATGGATGGAAGAGAAAAAAAAAAAACGACAAATGCCAAACAAAAAATGAGATTTGTTTTACCCTTGTGGTATTCCTTACCCAATTAAATTTTCGATTGGTTTATAGGTTTTTTATGGTGTAACTTTTTTTAAAGTGTTTACCATTTTTTGCTGGCCTTTTTATTGGAATTAAGCAAAAAAGCATAAAACAAAATAGTTCTTAACTTCACTCCCTTTTTCATTCTGCTTCATTTTTGAGCACCAACTAGTGAAGCATAACACTCTGGGATATTTTGCCAATGTTTGCCAATGTAACTAGTCTTATAGGTTTTTTACAATGCCATAAAATATCATTGTGAAATAAACGGAAAGTGGCAGAATCAGCTGACTATAATTGAATGGCGTGACAGTGCTTTGCGGCAGTTGTAGGAAATCATACAGGTGTTGAGAAAGAAAATTTTAGAATCTATGTACCTTTTTCAATTTATAAAATGTCTTCTCATGAAAGTAGATGTTTTAAAGTCCTTCTATATATAAAAAAACCTACTGAAAGTCCTCTATAGAGTGAAATACCCTCTTATGTCGGTCGAATCTTTCTTAAAGAGTGAAAAACTAATTAATGTCTTCTTTAGCTGAAAGATTTACACATCGCCATCTATATATTTAGAGAAATATATGTTAATAGAACAGATGATCGTTTAAGGGCCCTCAAATGGCCTTCTACATTAATACCGTCAAAGATACATTTATAATTATAAGAGTTTCTAAAGTCTTAAAGATAGAAATCCTTCTAATGGTCTTGAACACTAAGCTATTTAAAGTCTTCAAAAAAAGAAAGATGACCTTAAAATGTTTCTAAATATATGGTCTGTGATGCAGATGATCTCATGGTGGTCGTCATCAGAATAAGTTACAAAGATTTGCCATAGATACTTTTAAGGACATCAAAAACATGTTCTCCAGCTCTTCTTCGTAAAACTGAGAGCTCCTTTGAGAACCACTATAAACAGAGGAGCCTTCTATACGAGGAGCCTATTTTTGTTACATTTGGTTTTAATTTTGCATGGAAAAGTTAATTCTTGGCTAATTTGATACCCCTGAAATCGTTTTTTAATTCATTTTTGTATGGGTAGAATACCATCCAAAGATAATAAAGTTATACATCCGAGAGTAAAGGTACGAAAAGTAAAAGGAGTTGCAATATGAAGTAACATTGTTATTATGCGATCGATAAATTTTAAATTGTGCAAAATCTCGAAATATTCGAGAATTTTAAAACTATCCTAACCGTAGATAAATTAAGAACTTATCTCCAAACTTCTTCAAATCACAATCCACCTGCAACATTTTCAAATTCCAGCTCCATCCGTTTACCTAAACCCAATTTTTTATGAAATTTAATACCATTTGGCACAGTTCTTGCGCTGAGAATACACTTCTAAAAATACCTCATTATATCAACCCTATTTCCCCGCACTAATTTTTTATACCAAATGTTAAGATTTTAGCTCTATCGTCTGACATAATATCAAAATGTAAAAACTTAGTGCTTTTTAGTACTTTGTAGGGCATTAATAGATTTTCCAAAGAAAAAGAAAATAGTTACATCAATCCTAAACATCATCATCGACCCTCATACCAAATTTCAGAATTCTACCTCCATCCGTTTGACCAATACAATGGTCTCAATATTTGGTACTTGGTTTTTGTAACTTGCCTCACCCCT